TGGTTAAAAAAGCGAAAAAAAAAATAGGGTTGTGTGAAATTGTTCACTTTCCAGCTATACTTTATGCTGATCCTATCTGAAAGAAAAGTATAAATGGACTCAAACCAAGTAGGCCAGGAAATATAGAGTTGGACGCGACTTTTTGTTTCGGCAAGCTGAATTTATCTCTATAGATGCTAAATATTATGTACAATAACATATTAGTTTCCACAGTCATAAAAATGGGGGGAATATTACATATTTGGAAAGCTTATGAAAAGAGCTTCAAGTTAAAAAAAAATCGTCAACATTCGTTGAAAAACAACGGAGTTACAGACTGTCAAATATATTATTTTCAAGCGAATTTCGCTTTTTTAACGACAGGACTATGAATATTATCGTAATTTTCTCGCTGTCGTTCGCTTCCCCCGCCCTTCCGCCGCGCCACGACTCGCTGAAAAATCAAGGGACCCACTGACTTTTGACAATATTTCTTATGCACTTAACATACTTCCACAAATAAAATATTTTTATCTGGGAAAGTACTCGGGTTGCCGGTTATGANGACAGTCTGCAACTTCCTTTGTTTTTCAACGAATTTTGCCGATTTTTTTTTTTTAACTTAAAGCTCTTCATAAAATTTCCGAATATGTAATAATATATAACTATATCACGCGCATGTGTCGTATATTTCATTTTGCAACTAAGGCTAAAAAATAAAAAAAAATCCAGGTTGCAAATTTGAAATTAAAAAAAAAATGATAGATTTCAATGTATTATTATGAAATCTACCACGAAGAAAATCAGTGCGATTGTGGAAGATGCTCGGGATCGTCCAGATTAATAATTAGTTAATTTGTTTATAAGGCCATAACTTGTAAACTATTCTACTTACCGATTCCAGATTTCGTGTGAGTTATTAGACAGTGATAAGGAATGAGAGCGATGCGATGCCAAAACGTTCTGGTAATAATATCGCAATTTATAATGTTTAATCCAAAAGTCGTAAATAAACTTCTTCTGTTTATAGCTTTTGATCTAATCAATATTTTTTGACGCTCGAGGGCTAGTTTTGTAGGTCTTTTCAAGAAGAAAAAAAGTACTTTACTGTCTTCTCGTGGAAATGAACGGAAAAAAGTTATAAGCGAAAAACGTGAATTTACGTAAAAATTATATAATTAACCAGCCTGTAAACAATCTTCCTCCCATTTTTATGACTGTGGAAACTAATAATATGTTATTGTACATAATATTTAGCATCTATAGTGATAAATTCAGCTTGCCGAAACAAAAAGTCGCGAAATGGTCATTTTCCAGCTTTCTCCTGGCCTAAAGAAAAAGCAAACATATATCCTTTCTAATTTTAACCGTACCTAAATGTTATTTTATCTCGTAAACTAGTAAAATAAAACCTGTATAAATTCATTTGTAAAATATGCAACTTGAATAAATTAAATAAGTACATAAAAACAGTTTTTATTAATTTCAACTTGAACAGTGTATCTCAAAAGCTTAATATTTTATAGGAAGTTTATTTTTATTTTGAGGAGTTATATCGCTGCGTTTGACTTCCGCAATTGGTAACACCTCGTATATATCATAGATATATGTGATAAATAAACAGATAACTCGTCAAACGACTCGGCAAAAATTGCTGAGGCTCTAACTTAAAGACATTACAAGAGTACAAAATAATTATTGCATCGAAAAAACTATTTGTTTTAAATTAATAAATTTACCCGTTCAAGCCCGTTTTTCAAATAGATTAGGTACATATTCGCCTTCGTATTGCGTGTCAACTGATTAAAGAGAAAGCTGTTTTTTTTCAAATGTAGGTACACCTATTTAGAACCCATCAGGATATTAAAGGATTGGCTTGAAGTAAAAAATGAGGGTACTTTAAACGTGAATTAGTGTTTAATCGCAAAGAGGAATGGGAATTATGTCCATCTTACATCGGATACGATATGTACAATATCCTTAAAAGGTAAATTTGCATAGATGATAATCCAAAGTTGGATTTCACAGATACACGTATGTATTTTGCTTCACGGTGTTTATTTCCTAATATTTTATTAATTTAATTTAAATTGTCTCCTATTTTTCAAATTATCTGTAGACGACAACTGTAATTCTATAAATTTAACTACTTTGTAAGCAACTTCGGAAATTATACTCACGGTGGCATAATTTTGTACTTACTTATTCTGAACTGTTTCATTTTAGACAAGCATTTAATAGTGAAGTTAACTTAAATGATGATTAATATTATTATAAAGTTTTATACGTTTCACCAATAAACACCAACGTGGGAAAAAGTGCATCCTGGATATTTTGTCCTTTATAATTTTACCGATGAGTAAACTTGTATGTTGGAAACTTATTATTCCCTTTAATGGATAATGCATTAATTATTGCCTGCGCAGAAATTCACAATAAAATATTCATTTGAAATTTGTAGGTTCCGGGTTATAATCAAGATTAACAAGCTGACGTTAACATTTATTTTGAAAAATAGCAGTAATAGTAATAGCACAATCATCGATAATAAAATTAGATTTTACTCTTTGCAAAAAAAAGTGTGGAAATGTATAAAAAATTTTCGTAAATTAAACTAAGTAATAAGTACACAAAATTGTCGTCAGTTTATTGATGACAATAAATTCGTGCAGAAATTGTACGAATAAGACTGACTTTAATTTTGCAACAATATTTAGTGAATTCTGGTTACATTTTCAGGTTGTGTTCATGATAAAAATCATTAAACATGATTTAAATTGGTCTTGATTCTCAAAAAATTATTTATTACTATATACATTACATACTTTTTCATTTGGTTAATTTTGAAAACGAACTTAGATCGAAAAGCAGTGTTTAAAAGTCTAGAGAATACAATATGTAATTAATTTAATTTTAATTTTAAAAAAATTAAAAAGTTTTCACTTTTATATGCAAAAGTAAGTACTAATGAAAAATAGCATTAAATTAAGAATAATTCTTGATAGATTCTTGTTCTGTTATGTTTCTAGTGGAAATTACAATAAAATTGTATTTTTTAATAATTTATAGAGGACGACTTTCTTGTAGACCATTGCATTTTAAACATTCTTATAGGTATTCCTAAAGGGTATTATTTCCTTAAAATATTTAACCACTTAACATAAAAATAGCAATATCTAAAACTAAATACCTATTTGGTATTTAGGTACGACATTATTAATTCCCTAGGATAAGTAATATGATAACATTTCTTCAAAAACGAATTGCTAAAAAAACGTTCCTTAAATAAAATAATTGATACTGCTACACTTAGAAAAAAACTTAGGTAAGTCTAAAAAATGTATGAAATGTATAGTAACTGTAAAAAAGTAGTACCTGGCAACGTAGGTATTTTTGTCAAATTTTATCCTTTTTATAGTAGACTTTTAAAATTAAGAGGTTTATTTAAGCACAGTAAAATTGAACATTAATAAAAGTACCTGATTTAGTCTCTGATTTAGTGTTTACCTATATAGATACTTGTACACGCAGGTAGGTATAAATAATAAATAGGTATTGGTGGAAGTTTTACTAGAATTAGATAGACTATTTCTCTAATTCTGGAGAGAATTTTAATTAATCATGTATTTCCACATAGCAAATAACACTATTGTATCTAATAACTAGATATAAAAAACAGTTAATTTTGTAAATACTCTGCGGCTACTTAATTTTTTTTTAAATACCTAAGATTCTCATTTATTGGAGTAACTCTAACCACACTTCGAATTGCAATAAAATATTTTTTCCCCATAAATTAACACCACGCAATTCTTTGGAAACTATAAAGTAGCAGTATATTAAAAAATAACTTACCGTTGTAGGAAAACAATGATTTTCCTTAAAAAGTTTACTCTCAAAGTTTCTACTTGTCGATTTAAGTAATAACTATTCCAAAAAATGCACCTCGGAAATCAGAACACTTCACTATATAAATAATATCACTATTTTACATTTCTCAAAAGTTTATAAAAACTTAATAAAGTATAAATTGTTTAAAACACTATCAACTGACAGAAAATATGCATATAACCTCGCCATGTTGTTTTATTTTGAAAGTGCCATTCGTCGCCATCTAGTGGTGACCATACTTGACGACTATGTAACAATAGTAGAGAACTGCACAGCAAAAGTAATTTTAAAAATTTATCAAAAGGACAAGGACAACGAATTTAAAAATGTGGATATATTTCAAACTCAAAACCTGCACATGAGATTTTAATTGGAATGAGCACGAGAGGATACTATATCATTATCATCAAAATAGTATTATCAAAATCGCAGATAGAATATTTAAAATAAGGGTCAGGGCCGTAGCCAGGTTTGACAAGTAGTTGCATTAGGTTTTCTTTGCACAAGCAAAGATACTCGACATTAGGATCGTTCAATTGGAGGATTTGGAGGCTACGAATCTTAAATTGTTAAAGATATAGGATGACTCAAATTATAATAAAGTTATGTACAGGGTGGCTCAAATTATAAAGTTGTAAAATGTGTTAAAACATTTTTTGAAATAAATACATCAGAAAAACGATTTTCTTTATTTTCCCTTATAACTCTTCCATTTGTAGAAAATAAATGAATGAAATTTGATTTTTGAAATACTCATGTAATTTACAAAGTGAAAATAAATCAGAACAAAAAATATAAATTGGATGTTTACATTTATACAAAAAGTGAAACATATTTTTAGTATATCGTCAGTTTCAAGTTATTATTATTTTGAAGTTTAATATAAAAAAAACATATATTTGATTCTATTTTGGTAAAATTTAAATTTTTGTGACATGTCAAAACCTGTTGCCTTACAAATTTTTCAGGTGTTTCAAATTTATATATATTTATAAATTTGATGCAAATAATTCGTGCTTGCAAATGCAGATGTAAACATCGGAATGATTGAATTAGAGACGTCCTTAATCCGAACATGAAAAAAACTAACAAGATATTTTTTATTTAGAATTGTCATAATTTAATGAAGATCTGTATTAATAACATTTATTAGACAGAATATATTACAGAATGTATAAATTTTATAAGAAAAACTTTCTTCTACTAGTTTCCATGGCATGACGTCTTCCTTCCATTATCCATTCATACTGTCCATATTTACTATCAAATGTACCCTTCTGTAACGATCTTAATTTTAAAGTAAATCTAGGACCCAACTCCTTCAACCTGGCCTTTTTCCCTTCGGAATCAAAACCATACCTAAAAATAAATTAAATGTTCAACTAAATTGTATCTAAACAGAATATTGAAATATTAAATATACCTATAATGTCGGAAAAATATAAAGTCCCTCTGATTGTGAAATGTGACGGCTCTTTGACCCACAAATTCCGGATCATAATGAAACAGAGCTCCCAACATTCTCCCTACAGTCAACCCAAGCCTTGTTGCGAAGTTATTCAAAATGACTTCAGGTCGATGAGCAGTTATTGCTTTGTGGCTTTTCCTCAACTCAGTTGTTATCCGAACATTACTAACTTTAAAGTGAGCTGTTGGCCCATTTGGCAAATGTATAACAAGCAATCCGTTTGGTTCCTTCCTGTTCTCGTTAATAACCAAAACGTCTGTAAACTCTTTTTTAATAGCACTTTTCACAATTTTTTTCACACCTGATCTATTTCTATACAGAGATTTTGAGTTTGGTATTATTCTGGTTAACTCTCTTCCAAATATTCTAGTTTTCTAAAAAGAAATAGTATGAACATAGTGAATAACTTTAGTATGCAACAGCTTACTTTCATTGGATTATCCGAATAAGTAATTAAAACTTTTGGTTCATATGATTGTTTATAATAAGTGCTCAATTCATCATGTTCTATATCTTCACGAACCAATTCATTTTCTTCCAAGTTCAAATCTGTTATTATGGTTTCATCCTTTTCACGAAGACTTTCAATAGTATGGGGTGCTTGTTTAGGTAATCCTTCTCTTTCTCTAGTTTTCTTTGCTTCTTTTTTTGCCTAAAATTTGAAGCCCTAATGAATTACCTGCATGTATTTATATTAACGTTAAGCATGTCTTACCTTTTTTAATTCTCTCTTAACTTTTTGGAACTGTTGTGTCCTAACTTGTTTATTCTTTATGTGAGCAAATTTAGACTCGCTAGGATATAAAACGGAGCCACTTTTTGATGGTTTAATGTCTTCTACAGGTTTACTCTCCATTTTGTTTTATATGTATATATGTACATATACTTATTAGTCGACTACCATGTGTGTTTTCATTGTAGTTTTTTAGTCCAATAATTTCTAGGTTAGATTTTTAATTTAATACTTTTAGTTTTTTTCATGTTGTTTTATTGGCGACAAGTAGTTTACCACTAGCCACTAGCCACAGATTACTTACCCACTAGCCATAGAAATTTTTAGGTGTGTTTTATTTACATTTAGTTAATCTCAGTCTCGCCAATCACTCAACAGTCAGATCCAGTTAGATCAAGATAGCTTAGATTAGCTGAGAAAACTTGTAAATAAAACAGGACTAACATATCAACATAGTGCAAGTTGCAAGTAGTACCAAGTGAAATTAACAAAAATAACATTAGGGTGGTTTTATTGACTTTCTGCAAATTTGTTCCGTGTTCATGTTGTCAGATTGGTATCCTGTGCACAAAAACAACAAAGTATACAACGGAAAGTTATGTGAGAAAAAATGATTTGAATTATATTTATATTTTTACTTGAAATGTTAGTACTGCAATTATAAAAATGAATTTAGAATTATTAGGTAAGAACAATACATTTATTAAAACCAAATATTTTTATCATATTTTTATGTTCCAGAATCGTTCGGACAAAATTATCCTGAGGTCAGTTTTTGTTTTTAGTTATTGACTGATTGTAAACTATAAAGTTCTTTTAGGAGTTTGATGGAACACTTGATTCTTTATCCATTGCATTAACATGTGCATTCAATAAAAGGGGCACACTTTTAGCAGTGGGTTGCAATGATGGACGGATAGTGATTTGGGATTTTTTGACGCGAGGCATTGCAAAAATTATTTCAGCCCACGTGCATCCAGTTTGCAGTATAAGTTGGTCAAGAAACGGCCACAAAATTGCGTCTGCCTCGACTGATAATACAGTGTGTATTTGGAATATTCTGTCGGGTGAATGTGAACAGAAATACAGGTTTCCTTGTGCAGTTTTAAAAGTACAATTTGAACCGAGGAGTCTCGAGAGATTACTTGTTTGTCCTATGAAACATGCAGCAATTCTAGTAGATACCAATGGAATACATCAAGTATTGCCCATAGATGAGGATGTAAGTAAATCCTTTGTTGCGTTTTAAAAAATTTTACTGTTCTGTTTTTAGGGCGATTTAAATATTGTCGCATCGTTTGATAGACGAGGCGAATATGTGTATACCGGAAATGCAAAAGGAAAAGTTTTAGTATTAGATTCTCATACGTTAGAAGTTAAAGCGAGTTTTCGAATTGTATTGGGTAGTTCAAGTGCAACAGCTGTTCGTAGCATTGAATTTGCAAGAAGGGGAGAGTAAGTAACAAATTTCATTTTTGTTGCAAAAAAATTAGGCAAGTGTACAAAGTGAATGGCACATATTTGTTTTCAGTTGCTTTCTAATAAATACAGCAGATCGAGTAATAAGAGTGTATGACAGTAAAGAAATTTTAACTTACGGGAAGGATGGGGAACCAGAACCTATACAAAAATTGCAAGACTTAGTTAACAAGTAAGTGACATAAAAAAAAGATATAACTTTTTCTTAGTTTTATATAAAAAATCTCCACCGATCACATATTTTCCAAAACTTTTTTTATAAAATAATTTTACGCTTACCAAAAAGGAGGTTAACATACAAAAAATAGACATGTGTTCCAGATGTAACTTTAAGCTAGAGTTAGGTTTTTTGGGGTAATGGTACGTGTTCCCCGGAATATTAATACGAAATTAATATTATTTAAATTAAATAAATAGTTATAGTCTCTTGTAGTTAAAAAAATTGTTGCAGAACCATGTGGAAAAAGTGTTGTTTTTCTGGAGATGGCGAATATATATGTGCTGGATCAGCACGGCAACACGCCCTTTATATTTGGGAAAAATCCATCGGAAATCTTGTAAAAATATTACATGGTACAAAGGGAGAACTACTGTTAGATGTCGCTTGGCATCCCGTAAGGCCTATCATTGCCAGCATATCTTCAGGTACAGTTATTTTCAAATTTCATCGTCTCTTGTTATCCCTATACTTGCATCGTAAAATTACGTCATTTAAATTTTATAATCAACTTCTAGGTGTCGTAAGTGTATGGGCACAAAATCAGGTAGAAAATTGGTCAGCGTTTGCGCCCGATTTTAAGGAATTGGATGAAAACGTAGAGTACGAGGAGAGAGAAAGTGAATTTGATCTGACCGACGAAGATAAATCTATCGCAAGTGGTGGCGATGACAAAGAAGACACTGACATGGAGGTTTGATATTTTACTTACTTTTTTCGTTCCTTAAAAAATAAATCATTTTATGCGATGTAGGTTGATGTTTGCGCCATAGATCCAGTAGCAGCGTTTTGTAGTTCGGACGAGGAAAACGAAAATTCGGACTGTTTGCAGTTCTTACCTATTGCCCCCGAGGTACGTAAATATATATTTTTTAATATCAGCGCTTTTAATACAATTGATAAACGGTATTTTGAAAAGTTTTGAAACAAAAAATTGATTCCTGTTAATTATACAGCGTGTTCAGTATCGAATAGGCCATACATGACAGTAGCTTATTTAACCAAATAGACATTTAAGTTAATGCATGGTGTTTAAATTTTATTTTTCATTTTCTTATATAACTTTTGGAAATTTGAGAATTCGCGTAATGTTTGGGATGACAATTTATTGAATTGCAGGTATAGTCTGTACGAGTCTGAAGGTCTTTCACTTTAGGTAATTTACAATGCAGAAAAATGTATCTTTCAGATTTTTCTACTCGTAAAAAACATATTGTTAGTGTCGCTACAAATAACTGTTTTCACATAAGTTGATGCTGTACATAATCACTAAACTTTTCACTAGTTAAAGAAAGTTCCTTGTAATATTTTCTATATGGTCGTTTTTCTTCATAGCCAGCGACGAGGTTTATCCTCAAAGTAAGAGTACTTAATTTTTCAAAAATCAAAACAGCAGTATATGAAAAATTTACATATTCACTATTATTGTGGACCTCATCGTTGATAGAAATCTTTTTCCACCCATAAACACCTTCAGAGAAGAGATGAAAATCAAAAGATGCCAGATCAGGTCTATGAGGGGGGTCGTTGATGATGTTCCAGCGGAATGAATCCAAAAGTTACTTTATGGCGTTGGTTGTGTGGTGACGTGCATTGTCATGCAACCAACACATTCCTTGAAAGTGTGCTTATCATAAAGAGAAAATGTTAATATCATAGAAAAACGTCCAGCCGTATCAGCTACTGGGATTACTCAAAATATTAAAATTCTGTTTTTTTTTGGCTATAACTCTGATATTGAAATTCTCGTTTAACTTACAAATTCTCTTAGAAGAGTGGGCAACGTTCACAGAAATTGCAAATTCCTATCTTTAATAATCGAGATGACCCAGTTTTCCAAATTTTTTTCTATTACAGCAGAAAAATGAACTGAAGTTTATTATTGCTAGTCATTAACACACTAGATGAGCCTTGTAAAGTATTTTAACAGCTGCAAAATCTACTAGAAACCTTTACTCAATGTTTTTACAATTAGGATTTTTTTTTAAGTAACGTATTAAAAATAAAAATACAATAATGATGTTATTATCTAGGAGTCTTTGACCCGTCCCTGTTGTTCTCGAGCTAAGCTCTATGGGAGCAGACCCACATCAGAAATGCTAGGCCTTCTCTGATATTGGTTCTAATGCTGCTACAGATGGAACCATTCCTCAAACAATGGTGGTTTTCTGAGATGTTCCGTAGTGGTCTCTATTAACTGGTTAGTTTTCGCAGTCACCACTAAAAGTTGGAAATTTGGACGCATTACATGTGACCAGTTAGAGGCCACTACGGAACATTTAAAAGGATCATCATGGTCTATAGAACCGGTCGTAGCTCCTTTAGAACAAACCACAACGATCTCAACATAGTCTAGTCCGAGAACAAGTTCAATGTAAAGCAAGTGCTAGGCAACCCGAACAACAATATTGTGAAAACCTTAAAACCATTATTAATAGATGCGTCGCTATAGCAGTAAATGGACTAAAAAATCGATGAATTAATGTCCGCTATTTCATGTTGAAATGTGCAGGGGAAGGCAGTAAAAGAGGTGTCTCATCTTGTGAGTCAATTTTTTTCATTAGCAACTTTGTTTTTTTTTTTAAACAATTTGGATCAAAATCAGTTTTTCCAGTATATTGGAAAAACTATTGATTTTAGAGTAGTGTTCAACAGACGAAATATGCGCAATAAAAAGACCTACAAAATTCCGCCTAATAGATTAAAATCGGAAATTTTTTTTAAGTTATTACAAAAAAACGTGGAAAAGCACAGCATTTTTAAAATTATCCATAACATGGTTGTTGGAATTTTATAAATATGCTTAAAAGTTGTGAGTTTTTGTGTAAAAGATGGGCGCTGTGGGCCCGATAGTTTTTGCAAAATTCTATTTATCCCATCAAGGGCAAAAATACATAACTTTAACCTCTGTCTCTCCGAAAATTATTAACAAAAAAGGGTTTAGAAAGTCGATTTTTAAAGCTTAAAATGTAACTAAGTTTTGTACTCAAATGGAATTTTGATTTATTGCCAGGGGCCCTTTTGATTTTTACATTAAAAAATCTACTAGGCCTTTTTTTACCACTTTGTTTTAATAAACATTTAGATTATTTCCATAATATTTAACTATAAAAAGTGTGATTTTATAGCCAATTAAAAAACAGATTTAAAAAAAAATGTTCCTACGTCCTTTTGGAGCGGTTAGACTTTTTTTTTCAAAAAATCACAGCGCCTCTGAAAAAATCACCCACAGCACTTACTGTACTGTAAAAATCACTCACAAAACTTACAACTTTAAAGCATATTTATAAAATTTCAACAAATAATCAAATTATGGATAATTAAAAAAATGCTGTTTTCCCATGTTTTTTTGCAATAACTTTTAAACAATTTATCTGCTTTTAATCTATTAGGCAGCATTTTCTCTAAAATAAATAGTATTCCCAATAAATTGGAAAAACTGATTTTCGACCCAAATTGTTTAAAGAAAAAGAATGTTGCTAATGAACAAAATTGACTCACGAGATGAGTCTTTCTACTGCCTTTCCCAGTACATTTCAACAATAAAATAGTGGACGTCAATTCATCGATGTTCAAATATTATAGCGATGCGGTTATAAGCAAGCTGCTGTCAAAGTATGGTATACAGGGTGTTTCATAATGATGTGCAAATATTTTAAGGTATTTAGAAAGTAATTTTAGGGGGGGTACTTCCAATACATTTTTTCGAATTGAGCCCCCCCTTGAGAAAATATTCATATCAAAATGGCCGAAAACGCTTTTATTTTTTTTTATTAAATTTTTAGTTCATATTTGCTTAGCTTTTCCTATTGATAAAGAATTTTTGCAAAAAGCAAGTCAGAAATAACAATCGTTTTTGGTAACTTTACTAATTATGTGTACCTAATCGGCAAGGAAAATTAATTTATTTTTTTGCTTGTAAACCATTAAGTATTTTCAAAAAAATTGGAAGAGTAAAAAGTTTCTAAATGAAATGTAGTATTAAAAACTATTTTTCTTGTTGGAATTGGCTAATGTAGAAAAAAGTTGCGAGAGAAACAAAACCAAGGGGTGAAAAAAAGAAAAAAAAGACTACTAGTGTACCAAAATTCAAATTTCTAAGTTTATTCGTTTTCGTGAAAAAAAATAAAAGCCAATTTTTTCGGCCATTTTGAGATTTGAATATTTTCTCGGGGAGGGCTCAAATAAAAAAAATATTAGTACCGCCCCTAAAATTACTTTCTACACACTTTAAAATATTTGCATATCATTACAAAACACCCTGTATTAAAATTTTTAATTACAAATAGTCATCAGTTGTTTAAAAAGTGGCAAGTTTCCAATTGAGAACCTTCATTCTACAGATTGAAGATCCGGAAGACAATTGGGCACCTACGGATAGCATTCTGTCGGCCTCGACCCAGGGTAACGGTCCGCCGCCGGCAAAGAAGAAGAAATATAAATCGTACGATATAGCTCTCGAAAATATATCAGACGGAGGTAATCACAGTTAACAATAGTACATTGTTGTATAATTTGCGATGTAGATTTTAGCTATTTTTAGAGTTTTATCCTACGTTAAACTTTACTATGTTATAGTATATTTAAAGCTTTAAAGTTATGTTCTTTAAATAAAATTATAACTGTTATTTAAATTATCCTTCGCTTTTTGATTTTATGTTTTCTGTTCTTTTATCTTTGTTTTGTTGTGTTGTGAATCCAAAGTAACTGCATAGGATGTAATTAAACTGTGAAAACGTTCTTTTTACAGAAGTGCACCCCTTATTAAGCAATAAATCTAACAAGGATAAACAAGTGGCAGGCGGTAAGAAAGCAGCAGGACGGCCGAGAAAATAACTGTCTCCGAATAAATCTGTCGCAATCTGATTCGTGAATAATAAACTATACATTTTTGTCAACAATATATTTTTCCTACTATTTTACAATACTCTATTACATTGTAAAAAAAAGTAACAAAAATTTATTTGTTCATTACAACTCAGCGCATTTCCAAACGATACAATAAGAAGCCTTGGCAACGCACTTACGTGTAAAAAATAAGTGAAACGGTCATTTCATTGACTAAAACCATTCAACGTTAAAAATAATAAACATTTATTTTGAACCTCTCTTACATGGATAAAAATATATACATAAGATCGTAAAGATGTCTTGCTGTTAGGGAGCTGCAAAATATAATTGAAAAAAATGTGAAAGAATTGCTTCGTTAAACTTCAATTGCAGATAGGTCCAACGATGAATTTTTTTTTAGACTAATTCGTACAATCACGTCGCGGCTTTTATCCGATAAGTATACCGACACCGAGCCTAAACTGATTTTTACTGTGATTCATGAGTCCGCTAAGCGCTAAAGTAAAAGGCAAAGGACTCAACTTTTTCTCTAGAACTGCTCCCACTGTCCAGTTGGTATCCACGTGACCTGAAAATCTCCCTTATATAATACCTTCATAAATGCCCCAGTCCTAACGTGACCAAACTTATACCTCAGGCAATGATTAACAGAATTCCCTAAAGTTAGAGGATAGTCCAGTGGAGTACAAATTACATTTCTTTACAAACACTGAAACACTGCAGTATATTTCTTTTTTCAAAACAATTTGTTTTTTCCATTTTTACTTACAAAATATTTTGAGTTTTTTTCTCATTCTACTAGAACTGTGAACTAATTTTGAAAGATTTTTTTGTAAATTCAAGGCTTTATTGTGAAAAATTGTGTAGATTATTTTTCAAAGTACCGTCCATCACTAACCATTACTTTTTCCCATCTTTCTGGCAGCGTAAGTATTCCACATCAAAAGAACGACAAATTTTTTGATGCTATTCACCAATCGATCCAGTTTTTTGTACCTTCGTAAGATTGGAAGGGCTGCTCAGCCAGACCGTGTTCCTTGGATCGGAACAAGTAGTGATCCGATCTGGTGAACGTGGCGGATGGGGTAAAACATCCTATTTCAGCGTTTCTAAATATTTGCTCGCCGCACGATTTTCTACGCTTAGGACTATCATAGCGTATCCATTTTTCATCGCCAGTAACGATACGATGAATAGTTCACACATGAAAAATCCTCGTTCAACATCTCTCGGCTCCAATTCGTATGGCACCCAATTTTCTTGCTTTTGAATCAAATCGAGTGCATTTAAACGTTTGGAAATTTTGAATTTTCATCCCATTCTACTGGGACTGTGAATTAATTTTGAAAGATTTTTTTGTAAATTCAAGGCTTTCTGTGAAAAATTGTGTATGTAATTATTTTTCAAAATATTGCTAGCCATTATTTTTTCCCATTTTTTTGGCAGCGTAAGTATTCCGCGTCGAAAGAACAACTCATTTTTTGATGCTATTTACCAATGGATCCAGTTTTTGTTGCTCAGCCAGGTCTTGTTCCTTGGATCGTAACAAGTAGTAATCCAATGGACCAATGTCTGGTGAACGTGATGGGTGAGGTAAAACATTCCATTTCAGCATTTCTAAGTATTTGCTTGCCCCACGATTTTTTATGCTTGGGATTATCGTAACGTATCCATTTTTCATCACCAGTGACGATACGATCTAAAAAACCCTTTCTGTTTTACCGTTGAAGCAATAGTTCACACGTGAAAAATACCCGTTCAACATCTCACGACTTCAATTCGTATGGCACCCAATTTCCTTGCTTTTGAATTGTACCGAGCGTATTTAAACTGTTTTGTGATCAACATTCAACGATTCAGCCATTTCCTCTTGCATTTGACATAAATCCTAGTCGAGTAATGCTTCCAATTCCCCATCTTCAAACTTTTTTTATTGACCAGGGCAATTTTTGTCCAACTGCATCGAAATCACCACTTCGAAACATCGAAACCAATACGCACACGTTTTTATCGATGCAGTGTGTTCACTGTAAAGTTCCAACAACACTCGATGACTTTTAACAGCACTTTTCTTTGAATTAAAAAGGAAAAGCAAAACGTCCCGCAAATGGTGTTTTGTTGGCTCGGTAATTCAACATCTTCGAGCTGAGAGAAAATATGTTGTTTACACTTCGGCAAAAGTACACATAATAAAAAGTAAAACCTAACGACAGAGCTCTGAAATTAATATAGCTACAGAAGTGTCCGATGCGATATCACATAAGTTACGCAAATCCCGCAAAATTCATTCATATTAAAAGAGTATTTTTTTTATTGAAGGTTGTCCTTTTAAAAATATTCTTTTCTAGTCTTCTTTTTTTGGTTCTTTTGTAATCCACGTTCATTCACAGATAGTGAACCCTGCGTTTCATGCGCTGAAAAATGTGTTCAAGTTCATTTGGTGTTATGCTTATTTCATGTTCAACTGCTGCCTCCAAGTGTATGGATAGGATGTTCAAATATCTTATTTTTGATATGGCCGAACAGATAAAAATCTAAAGGTGTTAGATCAGGGCTTCGAGCAGGCCACAAACCCCTAGTAATCAATCTACCACTATAAAATTCCTGAAGATATAGTTTCTGCTGCAGTATGTGGTGTGGCCCCATCTTGTTGAAAATACCCATGCTGCACAGTTCTTCGTCATGCATTAGTTCCAGGGCATGTTGCAAAATGTTTCAGTATCGTTCTCCAGTTATTACTTCTCGAGAAAAAATCGATCCTGTTATCCGTCTTCTGGAAACTGCATCTTCTGATGATGTAACGATGTTTCAATAAAATTTTGCGGATTTTCTGCCTCATCAGAATAAAATTATCTTCGATTAAATGTTCGTTAAACCATCGACAATATTATACTCATTTGTGTTTGATTCAACAAAGATTAATTTGTAGAAAAGCACAGAAATACTGGTAAACACACTGCTAAATTGTACAAACAAGCATAAAAACACGAAAAATTACAAACACCTCTGGACTGACATATAATCTAGGGTGCTAGATGGTGATTTTTCCTTGGTTATTTCTGAAACACCAACTTAAGAAAATCAAATTTATTGGGCGCCAAAACAAATCTGGTCACGTGGGACTGGGGCATTTATGAAGGCACTGTATAAGACCCTGCCTTTTTATTATCGATCTATATTTACCTTTAAACACTACCTCACTTTTAGGTAAATCAACTTGATAACCAATAGACGCTACAGACTCTTGCATTCTGTGGTTCGCTTCTAACTCAACACCGATTTGTAGTTGTTTACTGGCTTTCTGATAATAGCATAAATGAACACCCGACACGCCAACGGTGCCCGAAACTTGTACATTTTCAGTTGTATACCTAAAAAACAATGGATAAACTTTTTGTAGACATCTGGTAAGTTGACTTTCACAAGCTGCAGACGAGCACATTTATCATTCAGTTAAACAAACAAGGAAAGGAAATTACTAAAATCGCTGCACCCTAAATTATTTCTAAATACTGATAATTCTTCATATAATAATAGCATCAATAAGTAATGTCCGTTTTTTTTGTTAATTTAATATATTTTATTTTTAACTCTACAATTATCAATAGGTTAATCAGTGCAGTGATGTCTGATTCTCCATCGTTATTTTTCAACGTTCTTGAGGCCTCTTTTGTGGAAATTTTTCGGTTTCGATTCGAAAAATGTATCCAACCAAGCTCTTAACTCATTGTCTTAAAAGAAATAATAAGGAGTTTGACAAAGAGCGGAAGGTGCAAAAATCAGAAGGCACGAGATCAGGAAAGTAAGGCGGGTAGGGTAGAATTTCCCAATTCAACTCTCGAATGGCCATATTGGCGATATGTCACGCATTATCATGTTGCAAAAGAACGTCGTATCAACGTTCAGGTCTTTTTTGTTGAATAGCCACATGGAGTCGCCATATTTGTTGTACAGAGTTGGACGTGTTGATCGATGATGACAGAGCAAACCAGCGGCAATTGTGAAGTGTTGGCTCTTTGAACTTTTTCCATCAAATGCAGATGGTTTACTATTGTTTTGTGATCACATTCCATCTCCTGAGCCAATTCCCTTGTTGTCTTGGATTTTCATTAAGGAGTCGATTTAATTGCTCTTCATCAAATTCAACCATTCATGTCTTTAAGGTTGAAATCACCTTTAAAATGCAAAAACCATTGAAGGGCCATTTGTTCATTCATCGCAATCATCAGTCATCACCATATATAGCACAAATTTTCTGAGCAGTTTGAGCGGCTTTAGCGTTTTCCCCATTTCCATTAAAAACAAAACGACGTAAGTGCCAAAAATGACCAATTTTATTAACTTGACATTCCATTTCAAATGAATGAAAATTCATAAAAATTATATCTAGCGAACCAACCAAAAACACAATTTGATAGAACAAGTTCACTTTCAAATGACGCACTGTGGGAAATATTGGAAAAAATTCGAGCCATGCGTCAAAACTAATCAGATATTACTGATTTTTTTTTATTCTTTCCAAAATTACCACCTGTACCATAAAGTTCCGGTGAGGTAATTGGAATATATGTCTAGAATTTTTTCAAAATTGCCGGGTAATCTCTAGTCTCAAACTCGATCATAGGAAGTTTGACATATTCATAAACATAAAACATAAAACACACCACAGAAACGAGACAACCCCCAAATCCAGAAGCCAAAGGCTTGTGCGGAAGGGGGCTACACTTGAAAAAACGTGGACAAACACCCATTATCCATCGACATTGCCAGTGCCGACACCGGGGATCGAACCCGGACCAGAGTAGGAAGCCTAGCCGAGAAATGCTTGCCACCGCACTCTCGACCGACTGCGCTACCGTGGCAGTATCTAAAAATGAAAAAAAAAAAAGGAAAATTATGGTTTCCTGGTCAGCTTCCTATGAATTTGGATTAAAGTTATGCAATAATAATGGTTGCACACTCAAAAGTACCATTTTTATGGATTTATATTCACAGGTTTAGAAAAAATTGAGTATGTTCGTTTTAGGTTGATTTATAAATTTGAGGTTTAGATTCATGATTTAGGAATATGTATAATGTTTATGATTTTTTTTTGTTTGGAAGCCTTTGGTACAAAATTTTCCTTTTTTTTCATTTTTAGATACCGAATATGTCAAACTTCGTATGATCGAGTTTGAGGCTAGAGATTACTTGAGCATTTTGGAAAAATTCTAGGCATATATTCCAATTACCTCACTGGAACTTTATAGTACAGGTAATTTCGGAAAGAATAAAAAAAAAAAATCAGTACTATTTGATTAGTCTTAATTTTTCCAATATTTCCCACTGTGTGACGTGTTGATTTGACAATGCGTTTAATTTTCATGTGGTTTTAAATTTGAAAAAAACGGACATTACTTATTTCGCAACCCATTACTTTCTATTGAACGTGTTACATAAAAGATAGTAATTTCATGATTTTGTTGTTGAAACTTTTGAGTATACAGAATAACAGCCAGTAGAATTTAAAATGTTTCGCATCATAATTCATAATTGGTATGGTCAAAATAAGAAAAAAAAAACAAAACAGTTCTTTGAAGAATGCATTATCGAAGAAAATTAATGTTTTCTAAAATATCTCTGAAGACGTTTGGTGTGTAGATTGATGAAACTTGTGCTAATTATTTAGAATACTATTGTTTATTAAATTTTTTTTCTCCAGCTAAATTAAGTTTTGTTATGATAAAAAACATTAAGTAAATATGAAAGCCTAAATGAAAAAACAAAAAAAAATAAACAACTTTTTCTGATTTTTCTTTTTATTTTGATACAAAAATTTTAATTGTCAAAATAAATTAGAATTTTGCTAATCCCCATATTTTCAAAAAAAATTCATTAATTTCTCTGATATGATGTAAATTTTTCCTAAAACCGTAGACTAGACACCATAGAACCATCGAAGTACCGAAATATGAAATTTACATATCAATTACGCAAAATTTCCAAGCTAATGGCTTCTTCAGAACGAATAGTTCTAGTGTCATCTAGTTAAAAATACTTTTTTTTTAACTTTTAATGATTCAAAAGCGGTTCATTCTTTTAAAATAAAATGGGAGATATTTTTTCTTAGAAGTATGATCAACACGACTAGGAGTTACGAGGAGTGACAGAAGTTACAAAATAGCCAGCGACATCAAATTTCTGAGGCTTAACAGCTATAATGTCTCCTGGCATTTCCGTCATTATGCCCAATCTAATCAGATGTCTTCAGAAATATGATACAGTTTTCTATTTGTATTTTGGGTCAAACCCTCTACGATTTCTAAGCAACTTATGCAAAATACACCTGGCTGAAAGACTGTTGCTATTTCTTTTAGTTATTTCTTTTCCTGTGAATTTGTTACCATTTCATCGGCTTAAATCTCATAACCAGCCACAAATAAAATATATTCAAACACATGCAACATTTTTTGCTGAACAGATTCGTATATCCCCAAGTTTGTTCAAGATCAAAGAGAGAAGATTTAAGCTTAGCCAACAGCTTAGGCTTAGATTTTTAGTTCTAAATATCGATTTGGTGTATATGTGTAGAAATAGTTTTCCGAATGTGAATAAACGTTAAATACCTGATGATTCTATTTATTTATATATTTATAAATTGAAATATGAATAAAATTATGCCTAACAGGATTTTTGTGTTGTATGGAACTGCAAAGAATATCAATTAAGAATAGACTTCTTATTACCTAAATCATGAGGTATCGTAAAGTGCAACGTGAAAACTTTCAGACACAGTTAATTTATTCAAATATTTTACAAAAAAAACTGATCTTTGTATATAATATGTATATGATATTATCACAATTATAACTGAAAATGTTACTCACATTTTTTTTTACTGACAGTAAGTACACGAAAAATAATCTCTCTAATGTGATTTAACAAGTTCTGAGTTGGTTCTTTGTCCAAATTACCAATCCATATTTTAGTTAGAAAGACGAGTTACTTACTTTGCTGCCGCACTGAGAAGAGCGATTTCGCCACCTGGAATCCCAGGTCCCTTCTGATAGGCAAGTTCAGATCCTAATGCTAATCTAGAAGTAACAGCTTGTAAATAATGAAGTACGAGAACTCCTGAACCAGAAATAATATCAGGATTTGCTACAGTACAACTGGCAGTGTAATCGTGACCTTTATAATTCATTGTTAACTGTCCTACTTGAAATTTGGAGTTTTGAATCTAAAATAGTTATTGTAAACGTAACAATACAAAATACAGTTATGATGTCGATAAAATTTAGGTTAGGTATATCTACCTGCGCTCCAAATTTGGTTTGTATTCTAGAATGTATTTGATGAATTATTGTCGCGTTTAAATTTCCTGAGGGATCAATATCTCCTAGCAGAATTGGATATGCTTCACTAGGTGAAATTTGTTTCGTGCCTACATAAGTCGCACCAAATCTATATCCGCTTGGTGTTACAGAACTCATGTTAATTGTGTGTGAGATTTGAAAATGATTACTAAGACCTCTCGTAAGCATAACTCTCGCTCCTTCAAAACATGTAGGAAATACATCTAAAACAAAATGATCCAGTCATGCTTCGTTTTAAGAGGTTAAGGTACTACATACTTTTACATTTAGTATGGATTTCTTCCAATGGGCCTGGATTTTCAATTACATTTTCAGAGGGCTTTGTAGTTTTGTTATCACATTCCTTTCCCTTTGGAAAACTCGTACTAGTTGGTGGCGGCGGAGGAGGAGTAGCAGAATAAGCGTGTACATTACCCATTTTTCACTTAAATTTATCTTGCAACTGGGACTGACGACTCCTCAAGTGCTTTTTTGGTAAGTACTAATTAATTAACTTGCACATGTGCCAGTATATTACAGAATTAAGGTTACTGTTGTTAAAAGCGGCTACACAAGAGACCAACACACATTTTGACGAAATTTTCAGTTTGGTTGACAGAAAAAGAAAGTTGTAAAACAGTTGACTGTTTGATCGATGAAGGCCTTGAAATTTTGAAATGCCCATGTGAGAAATTTTATTGAATTTTTTATATTTTTTTAAAAGCAAAGAAAGATATAAAAATATACGTATATTAGATTCTTTATATTATTTTTAAACATGAGCGATGATGTAATATTGATTTTCTTTTCAATATTTAAGGGCGTCAGGTCAGTGGTGGCAGATAAGGACGCTGACCAGGCTTTTATACCTGATGCGCAAACGTCATGAAATCATAAAATTCGAAAATTGTATTGTCTTTTATTGTCCCTTCATTCTCTCCGGCATATTTTTATTGACAAATCAAACATTCATAAAATTTTTACTAATTTTATGACATGCTTCTGCCCCTTCGCCCACTTCCGGTAAGTTAATATTCAATTGAAACCATGGCGTAAATAAATAAACCCTACATACATGTTTACTTTTTTCTCTAATTGCATGTATGGATTACATAAAAACATTGATTGTATAACAGCACAAAATATATGAAGCTACCGAAATTTTAAGTTTGAAAAACTCATCATCAACTTACTCTAGTCTACTTCAATTGTTCAAATAATCCACGAGTGCTCTGAAGTGATCAAATCGATGCATGTTTTGTGGTGCAGTTGGTTCACTCGGATCATTACGAATAGCCGCAGAAGCAGCCAAAATTGAAATTATCTATGGCGGTAAGCTCACCTGTCAGTCCTGTCACCGGTAAGTTTTGAAAAACATCAAACACTCTATTTGTTTCATTGTAAACTCGAACAAAACTTATTTAACTAGTTATGTGATTATTAATGGTTATGTATTTAAAACGAAAATAGCTGTCGTAAGTCCTGTTTATTTATTATATTTGTCTAAAATTTTGGTAAATTATCTTGTCAAATAACAATAAGCTTCTGCTTATTATTGTTAAATTGTTGCAAATAATATTTGATCTGCTTTAACTTGTCTCTATAAATGCAATTATGAGCTATTTACCATAGTTTTCAAACCGTTTGTTCTTATCACAGATCTCGTAAAGTGGATGGTTCTTATCCACGACTGTTTATTTCCAGAATTAAAACAATAGTCAAGAAGTTACAAAAGAATATAACATTTCTTATATAATTGTGTTATCTGTTATATAAACAGAAAACGGGGCATGATTTTTCACACATATTTATTAGAAAAAGTACAAGTATCAAGGACAACAAAAGAAAAGAAAAAACCTTATAAAAAATATAATTTTGCTTTATAAGATCATAGATTTTAGAGTTTTGAAAATTTAACATTATGTTCTTTACTAATTTGTGCCATTGACGCTTCAGCAAAATCTTCACTTTGCAACATCAGTTGATTCCAGAATGCCTGAAATAATAAATTAAAATATGAAAAAAACTGAAAAATCCTGCAAAAATCATATCGTATTTTAATTAACGCATTACAAATTTTTCTTTTGACTTTTGAACTAAATTTTATTTTTTCATTCAAACTTTTAGCGAAAGTTGTTAAAACCCAAAATAAACAAATTCATTTATTTATTCTTTGTAGTGAACAAATCACTTTTAGTACTAATAATTAAAAATTGAGGAAAGGGTAAGAGATTTACTAAGCGGTATTTGCTCATATCATAAGAAGACAGAAGGAACAAACTTACGATTTGATCAAGTCCATCTTGAACTGAGTGATCCCTTGAGTACACAATGCTTGTCTTTGTTCCTTGTACAGCAACTGGACTCTTTTTAGCGATTGATAGAGCAATTTTTAAGACTTCTTCAAGCATTCTGAAAAAAGCAATATCAAAATTTACTAAAGCTACATTATAGTACCTTAGTAAAGCACAAGTACATTTGACTGCATTTAATTATATACTTACTTTTCTTTATTTTCAAATACTCGTGACACAAAACCAGAACTTAATGCCTCATCTGCATGCATTTTTCTCGCTGTATAGCAAAGTTCCCTTGCTAAACTATCTGATCCAATTACTTTTGGTAACCTTTGAAGAGTTCCAACATCAGCTGCCATTCCAATATCTACCTAATATTTAAAATTAAAAACAAATCCAAGATTATGAATATTATTTTTTTATAATTCAATTTTTGCAATTTAAATTGGAGCTCGTAACTTCGCACAAAACGACAGTGCTTATACCAAAATCCACACACAATTTTTCAATCAGGAAAACATTTTCTAATGTCTCATTAGCATAATACTTACCTCCTTTACTTGAAACCACGCATCTTTCGTACAGTAGCGCATGTCGGCCGCAGTAATCATATCAACTCCAGCTCCTACGCATGCTGAGTGCACAGCAGCTATAACGGGTTTCTTGCATAATTCCAAAGACGTTATACTTTTCTGGTATTTTACAACAAAATTATAAAAAATTTTAGCTCTCCTTGCTACATCGTCTTGTGCCGCTATTATAGGAGACGTTTCCATTAAATTAGCGAAATCAATGCCTGCAAAAATATTTCGCTTATATGTGTTTCAATAATAACATACGTATGTTATGAATCTTCTTAAATCCATATCATAATTTCAGGTGAATGTTCCTCGAGTTGTTTTAGGTCCAAAAAACCTAATCAACCAAGAATCGACATTTTTTTAACATATTTGGCATAAGCTGTTTCAAACAGTGATAAACACAAATAGTATACATGTTCTATTTTCCTTATTTGTAACAATATCATAATTTTCAAGCAGTAAATGTTTGTATTTTTTGATGTATTGCTTACCTGCCGTAAAGAGCCTACCAGCTCCAGACAAAACAACTACTCTACAATTCTCATCTTCATTTAATTCATTGAAACATTTTCCTATTTCCCTAAAAAGAAAAGGTTTTACCGCCATCATAAGATTAAGTATTTAGGACCGTTTTTTTAAGAACAGGAAATGTTCAGGTTTTTATTTTCGATATAAGTTCAGTGCAAAAAATTGTTTAATTATGTTACGTTCCTACGTAACAAAAAAAAGTTTTGTACTTACAACCACATGGTCTTGTTTAAAGCGTTGAGCTTATCAGGTCTATTTAATGAGACGTGATATACAAACTCATGTGGTACAGACACGGAGAGTGTTTCAAATGCCATAGTCGAAGACAGTCTATTCACGAAATTTTTTCCTGAAATGTTGAAACGATGTTGATTTGAATAGTGGGGAATAATGAAAATATAACTGTACTTACTACACATATGCAATAAAGTGGATACTGGTTTGGATAATGTTGATACTGACATTTTTTTAACACTATGGTATATCTAAATTAAAATAGTTTTAAATAATTTGTTATTCTAAAATGAACCTTTGACCTTTGTACTTTAATTATTATGATATGAGTTTGAAATGATTAAAAATACATAGAATAAATTTATTTATTTAGGGTTAAGTTTATATTGTAGAATTGTTTGTAAAAAAATAAATATCCAGTAAAAAAGAGCTTAAAACCTTAGAAAAAGAAAAAGTGTTTTTTAAGTTTTATACTTAACCTAAAAATATTTCTAGGTTATGAATATAAATCCATTTTCTACCTGTGCTATTCCATGATTGGGCAACACAATATACGTTGACAACTTGTAGATTTTTGTACATTTTTAATTTTCACATCTTCAGTCTACATAATCCCCAGAATAGAAAGAGAATTTTGATAACTGCATTTTTTTGGACGTTATAAAATCTAAAGTAAGTAGAAGTAATAAGTATTTTATTAACTCGTCATGGATTTTATATGATTTGATATTTTTAAACAGAATAGGAAAAAATAAATTGAATTCTTCGCTGTTCATACAAAAAAAGCAGCGGTATGCGTTGTCAAGTCATAATTCACATTTCTTTTTTAAATTTCTTGGTAGGTACATCATACTACTATTTTATATATTTACTAATACTATTGCATAAAATAAACTATTAAAGTGGTCAATTTTTGTGGATAACATGCATATGTTAATATCATTGATGTCTCTATGTTGAAATGGTTATATTTAAGCAATTATTGCTTGTAAAAACTTGAAAAATCTTTATTTACCTATTAAAATTTTATTCTTAGGATAAAGATTGAACTGGTGCGGGTTCAGCCTGTGTTCGGACTAGGAATAAAAAAACAAACATTTTTTTAGTTCATTTATACATAAAACAATTTGATACAATACAAATCATTTATACATTTTATAAATAGCTACAATGCAGCATGTAGTTAGCAATGCAAATCTTATCTAGTGACTAGAATACTGATAAAATTAAGTCTTTTTTAAGTTGTTTAATATCTAATGCAGTGTGCGGCAAAGCATGTAGTAAACTTACATTACAATGCAATAGTTAAAATTAAATCACATCTGTTACAATAGTTACATTCTTAATATCCACATACTTATACATACATTTATGTATGTTATTTGAAGAATATACGAGTGCAGTAATGGCATTTCATCTATAACAAATGTGATTGTGTAATTCCTGACATAATAAATACTTTTACTTTAGATAAATACTGTTAATACATTGGTCAATATATATATTAAGTACTTTATAAATATTTGTAAAAACACTGAGGTACAAAATATTACAAATAGGTACAAAATCGGTTCTATGTAAAAATTTTATAAATTGAGTATTTCTTTAATTATGACGTAAGTGTAAAGTACATCAACAAATTTTTTATTTAAATATAAACTATGCAATCACAATTAAATATTTCGATAGGCATAAGCAAGTTCTTGTATGGAACAGAACTTCTAAAACATCTAATAATGGCAATTAGGTACTTAACAAAATGAATCCAGTGTTCAACACTGCTTTAAAATTAAACAAATAAATAAGGTACATAACAAATTGTGCATGTTTAAAAACTAAAACTATAATTAGAAAGCTAGAAAATCACAATTGGTATCAATATAACTCAATACTTTTTATGGGATAAGAAAAATAATTTCGCTTTTAAAAAACCTAATAAATTATAAAAACTGTACATAACCTATACCTATATACACAGGATTAAAAATAAAATTGAAAAACAAAGTTAACAAACAAAACATTCACAAAACAATAAAATTTGTACATTTAAACCAACTTTTCTAACCATTCACCTAATTTGGAGTAGTTACATCCGCTTTTAAAGTTTTACACCTTTCTTTTTCTTGATTGTTATCCGGCGGTTCACACTCGAAACTAGCCAGAGCTAAAGCATTTTCGTTTAGAATGGGCCCGTGTTGCAACAAAGATATAATCTTTGGATCCTTCTCGAACGGACAAGTTACTTGTTTCCATGCCATGAACTCTGTTACTTGTTTCGCCAGTTGCCAGAATTTTTCAAAATTAATATGGCCATTTGGCAGCCTGAAACACAAAAATATAATTGAGAATACCACGAGTATTTTGTGACAAATTGTACAATCAGTTTTATCGGTAGTGATCCCAGATTAATTCAAGATTTTTTTTGGAGCATTTAATAGAATATTAAAGGAAAACACAAATAACTGTATATTTTTTCTATTGATTCGTAGTAAACTGAAATAATAATATACAGACAAAACCATATACTTATCACTTCTTTTTGTAACGCTTTGCTCAACTGTTGAAATAAAAGTAGCCATATTTTATTCATTTGAGATCACAATTAATCTTTCTTAATTGACCAATGAGCATCTAGAACAACAGAAGAGCTGAGATCTCAGGTAAATAAAACATGGTCATTGGAAATACAATTTTGTAATCAGCTTTTTATTATTTTAGAAATATAGCAGTTTACTCCAGTTTGTTATTAAAAATAACACTTCTTATTTTGATTTTGTGCCCAAAATTAATAAGCACTGTGCTTAGGTCATCATGGAAAGCCTTTTAATCACTTGTCTCATCCAAAAGGTCCCCCTGTATATTTTTCTGGAACTTTCAGTATCTACAGGTTTAATAACTGTTTTGGTTGTGACATTTTACAGACCCTGTAATTGTTATTTCTCATTATATCTAGTTGTAATCAGCAAAATCAGTTAATCTTATCTTATTCGCATTACTAAACTAATTTTGAAAATCTGATTAAAGAAAAATGTGTTAATTATTATGATTTTATTCTCAAATAAAAAATTGGGAAGTGTGACAAAAAAATGAAAGGAATGAATTTTGTCACCAATTTCCTCCAAACGGTTCACAAGTTGAAGCCAAAACCAATTTTAATGAAAATCTGTCGAGTAGTAATTAAAATCGTAAAATAAGGTAAAATGTTTGCACAAGCGAAAAGGTGCGAAAGTGACAATATGTATTCTTAAAATAATTTTCATGTGACCACCCTGTACATTTCATCATGAAACATCTTGTATTGCTGAAACAATTTTAAGTTTGCGATTCGAAATTTAAGTACAGGATTTTTAAACTATTTTTTGCTGTAATACAAACTTTCAGACAATAATTACAGTCAATCTTACCTGTTTGCACACCCTTGATTGAGAAAATAAAGGTCTTTTACAAGTAAACTAAAAAATGGAATGACGATTCTTTGCCTCTGATCGGTGGCCCCTGCACTTCTCCACATAGCAGCTTTTAACGTACTTCTATAACTGCTGAAGTTGCTACTCGGATCCATTTGATGTTCTAATATTGCAAACTTTCCTGACTGGATTTTGCTCCACTAAAATATATAAATTATTTGTTATTCAATGATAATTGATGTTCATTTTTGTTGACCAAACTGTAAATTTTAATACATACAAAACAAGATACTTACAGTTTTCTTCAGTCTTGAAATTGGCGACATATTTAGTCCAGCGATGATTGCCATTAAACTGTTAAAGTTTCCAATATTAAAACATTCTCTTCCAGTTTCTATCCAAAATTCTACAACTCGCACTCTCATTTTCTTCTTTTGGTACTAGAAATACAAATAATATTTAATTATAATTTCTTACACGCCACCACATCAAAACTTACTTTACAAACTTGCGTTGCTACGAAATAGCTCAGTCTATTAAACCATTGGACGTATTGTTCCAAATTATGCGTTTTCTTCATGTCTTTAAAAGAGGTCTCTAGATTTGGGTTTTCCTTAGCAAATGCCTGAACGAATTCTTCAGGGCCAATGAAGGATAACCTCTCTAGCTCCACATGCGTTAATTGTTGAGCAAGCATTGCAGGATTAGGACATATTTCCGATATGTCAGTGCAATTTTCATCTAAAGAACCGGTCTGGGTTTCCAGGGATTTTTCATAAGCTTCAAGCGCCGTCAATCTGGGGTGTAGATTATGGAGCAACGAGGACACATTCGCTCTAAGGCTGGAGTTAAGTGCACAACATTGTTGTGTTATTTTTCGAACATGCTCCATCATTCTTTCATCCCTAAAAAAACAAATACATTAATAATTTTGTACAAAATCACGCCGATCCTATCAAATTGGAAGGGCGTAAAATTTTGAGAAATTTTAAAAATTTTTATAAAAAGGAATTTTTGTTCAGTTTCTTCTGCTATTCCAGTGGCGTACGCCTTGTTTTTCTATAACTTCCAATTGAGTTATCACTCAATTTTATATTTTTTGAAATGTAACTTTATGGTATTTATGCAAAAAAGTTTTCAAATTTTTATTATACAGGTTTGGAAAGTCCCCATGGTACATCGGCTGTTACGTGAGAGCGTTAAAATAAGTCATAGAAATCCGTGCGATAGAGAAATAAGATCCACTTCCACTTGTAATTCAGCAACCGGTGGTCATCTTTGTTTTCGTCGTTTGCCTTTTCTTTAATATATGTCACTACTTATACAATTCCGACTCCAGTATTCCGATATGTTAATACAATCCGTTAACAGAGGGCAGCAAAACGCGTAACAAAGAAAACATTTTACAGTAGCTAGTAGATACCTCTGTTTGTAAATATAGTGACCTTGTTTCCTCTATTGAGAAGTTATACAAATGGAGTATAGTGCTCAGCTGCATTTAAAGTTCATTTAGTTGTTATTTAAGTATACTTTGCCCTCCGTTAACGGATTGTATTAACATATCGAAATACCGGAGTCGGAATTGTATAAGTAGTGACATCTATTAAAGAAAAGGCAAAGACGAAAACAAAGATGACTACCGGTTGCTGAACTACAATTGGAAGTGGATCTTATTTGTGGAAGGGCGAAAAGGGCGGTGACTATGAGACGCCTTCATTATAGCCATCCTTCTCTATCGCNAAGCCAAACGACGAAAATAAAGATGACCACCGGTCGCTGAATTACAAGTAGAAGTGGATCTTATTTGTGGAAGGGCGAAACAGCCATCCTTCTCTATCGCACGGATTTCTATGACTTACTTTATCGCTCTTACGTAACCAATCTCTGACATACTTCTTGAGAAACTCTTTATATTATTTTTTATTGGAAAATTTGTTTAAAAAATATGGATGAAATAGCAAGTAGCGTAAAATTATATATCGCAAAATTTGCTGTTTTTCTTATTAGATAGAATAAAATCATCAATACAATATTATAAATTACCTTAAATTACTTGTTTTTGTTTGCTTCAACTGTAATTTCCTAGAATACCTATGTGTAAATTGAGATTAAACTGAATTGTTTGCTTATATTTTTTTGCACAACAGTTTAAAAAAATATGTTATCTGAAGTACTGACTGTGTTGTTTGTATAAAAATCCTACGCAAAACTATTAATTCGCTTATTAATAAAAATTACTAATAGCTAAACTAAGGATTAAGGCTTTTCTCACCTGAAGTCGTAAGGAAAAGTTTCAGTCCATTCGGCCAGCAACTGCACCAAATGTTCAGCGAATCGAGCCTGTCCTGGATGCGAACTTCCCGCGGCGGTGCTTCCTAGACCCTGCTGCGTCTCGCAGAGATTCCGCACCTTGGCGAGGAGATCGTGTGGCTTGATGAATAGGCGCGAGGACAAAAGAAATGCAAATAAGTATGCCCTGTCTGGATAGTACACGTCGGTGGGGACCATGTGCTGAATTAGAGTCTCCAAAGGGCCTGATACCAGATTCCCGTCCCGGTAAACCAATGCCTAAATTAATTAACTTAATTAATCTACACAAGAAAGCGAGAAATCCTCGGGTTCGAACACTTCCAGACTGAGTACTGGAAAGTCAATATGGGCTAAACTGGACTGCCGTATCGGAAATAAAGGTTTATAGGGATCATCGGACAAATTGTTTACATAATAGGCCCTTTTTACAACACAACGCGGTTAGCAGTTAAGCGGGGTTACACTGGACGCGAGATCGTGCGTTAAATGTCAGAAATGTCAGATTAAAAGAATTATGTATATAGAAAACTAGCAAGCATTGCAGGAAATCGGATAGAGCGAATAGGAAACCATAACGTATTCGACTTGAATCAACGTAGTTATTTTTCTCAATATCATAAATTATAAATGTGAAAATCCTAATTTTTCTTAAAAAATTTGATTAAAAAAATTTTTTCAATATATTAAGATTTTTTTGTTTAACTTTTTAATTAAATATTCTATATTTTTTTATATTTTTAAAGATTATTTAAATTTATTTAATTTGTTTCTATTTCCGAAATACAAATGTTTAGTTTCAGAATCTTTTTCATGGTAAGGCTTTTTAATTTATATCGACGCTCTATATTTAAAAATATTATATACAGGGTGTTCTACTTAAAATCGAAACACCTTAATTATACTTATTTATATGGCATTTCTTATTTTAAAAGCAACTTCAGTTCTTATTGTGAGGATGGATTTATTTATCCTCAAATAACAAAACCGCCTGAGAAAACACATTATAGTGTTACAGTTTCAAAACTGATAGCATTTTTTTATTCATATTTTCAGTTTTATCAGTTTCTCGTTATTGCAATTTAATTTAATGTAGTAGTTTGTAATGTGATAAAGGTGCACTTCTAGATTAGAATACACAATAGTATGATATAAATTTGTCGTATCTAAAAAAATTACTGACGTAAATGAATAAAGTCGGTAGAATTTAGATATTAAAAAAGTGGTCCATTAAAGAAAAACAATGTCTGCGATATTCAATTGATTTTTCTAAAAAAGAAATTTTGAAACAAAAAAGTTACCATGTTGTATGGTTATATATCTTCTAACTGAACACATTTCTGTTGAGCCCTAAAATGCGCTAATCCAAAAAAGATAATAAACTAATATACATTATAAATGCTTTCATAAGTTAACCCTTATGGGCTCCGATCCCTATTCCTTTACTTCGCCGCTACGAATCTTACCTGTACCTAACGAATTCGTATGGACTTCTGGTACGACTAAAATACTTTCTTTTCATTATTTTAGTTCGAACAACAAGTGTCAAAGCAAATTGATTTCACTTACTGCACCAGAAATGCTATCATCATAGGTCCAAAAATGTAAGCAGTATTGCAATGGAGAAAAATTTTGTTTTACAGATATTTTATCAACGAAATAAAAAAGATTCGTCATTAATGATGCGTGTATATCCTTCTTATTAATTTACTGACATGACATTAGGTACGATAAAAATGAGTTGATTTGTATAGGAGATAGAAAATGTATGAACTGTCATAAAATGAGAACCTTGATTGATCTGATTAGAGATTACGTAATAAATAGACTTAAAAATAAATAAAGCAACTGGCGCCCAGTATGGAATAAGCATACCGGTTTTCGTTATGACTAATGATATAGCTAGGAGCGATTGTAACTGGGTACCTTGTTGGTTGGATGATTCAAGATAAGGTTATGGAACACGTAACGTAAATAACAACAACACCAAAGGCTTACCCGAGTATAAACGTGGTTTATTTGAATCTATTCTATAACTTTTATTGAAATGTTCATTTGACCTTTTTTATGATAGATATAAAAGAAACTGTCTACAGTAGGAACTTTTTCTTCAATTTTTTTTTGTTAGTAGTCATAAGATTTGAAATTTTCAAGAAGTTATAAAATCAATGCTTATAGTATGCAATTATGTGCGTACAGTATATTTAATATAAAAAATATGAACCTCAATTTTTTAACTTACTATGACAATGATAAGGATACTCCGTATAAATGCCAATATTTTGAGTAAGTACCAGTTAAGATTTGGTTAAAACTAATCAGAGTATCAAACATCTACTGAAGATATTGATCCTAAATTTACTAAACAATTAATTTTATATGTAATAGATCATCAAAATGGATCTAAAAAGAATACAAATTTATCTTATTCTAAATTTTAACTCTTCCTAATATGATATATCGGATTTCTTAGTTTTCAAATTTGGTGCCAATATTTTAACTTACAACTATAAACATTCCGAAACTGAATCAATTTTTTCTTCTGTGATTAACGTAAAGAAAACATTTCGTTTATTTAATTTTTAACGTAGGTACACGGCTTGTCAGAAAATGCTTTAGATTAGTACCTTGTCAGTTAAAGTGTACCGTTTTTTAAATTCCAATCACTGGGTCATTGTTACGAAATCTCAATTCCTAATAATTATCTATATTTATCGTGATGATTATTAATAACGATGAACAATTCAAAAGCAGAGATTAGCAAGTTATTCGTCAACAGCCTAGACAGTTTTGTTAATCCTAAATGAAATAAAAAGTAAATCTTACGTTATCTTGCTGCAAACCAGAATCCGCAGAACCCTCTTGGCTGGCTTCGCCGTTAAAAATCGTGGAGAAACTTTTAGTCTGTGGTGTTTGTGGCAAGCTCTGTGAAATTATTAACGTTAGTATTATTATTTGCGATACATTACAAGTATTAATTTATAAGTAACATTACGAATAAAATATAAGTAGGGCAACTAACTTCGAAAGAAATAGATGTTAATTAAAGATTATAAGGGAAACCCTCTCACTAACACGCACACACACACAGTTGGAGTCTCGTGCAACTTAAGTATGGATTGTACGGCTTCAAATCTTTATCTCCGATAAGAATTTTGATTATTCAGTTCAAAAATAACACTTTGTGATAAGCTTATTATTAAATAAAAATATATTTGAAAAGAGCAGTGTTTATCAGTTACACGTAATTCTTCAAATAGTTCTAACTCCAGTTTACACACTATATACTACTTATAATTACAGTGAATATATCTAAATCTGCATTTGCAATTGACACTTCTTACAAGTCATTAATGGCTTTTTCGAAATACTAATTGCCTGATATAAAAATTCTACTTAAGAAGTTCAGTGCTGTGCAAATTTCGCTGAAATTTGCTTATATTTGTATAATCTAGAAATTATCGCACGAGTTCTGACGGATCTGAAGAATATAATTTAGTTCAATTATAGTAAAAAAAAAATTTTTTTGTACAAAATATAATACAATCTTTTTATTATTTAAAATGTAATGTATTTATTTTATTAAACTTTAAAAATAACCATACTGATTAAAATTTGCAATCAAAAATAGGGAAAATAAGAATTTTATTTTTATAACAAATTTTTTTTTTATTGCAAATAACATAAATAATCAAAAATCCTTTTCACTCTCGTCTTCCTTTTCTATTCTATTCTTAAAATTACTATTTCTATTCGTAAAATATAGCTACAATGTGTATTCATCAATGCTTCAAAATACGCGTTCTGATATCTGCAAAAATATGTTTGGTTTTTTCACCCATAACTCGCTATCAAAACCATTTTGTAGTTTTTTTCAATGGCTATAAGACGGACCAATTTTATTTTCGTCATAACTCGCTTAGGTTTGATGCTAGGGACTTTTATAAAAAATAAAAATAAAGGTTTTTTCAGGCACTTTAAAAAGGTTCTATGAGTATTCCCTGAAAAATGCATTGGTTTTTGGATATTTCACGTTCAAACTTTCAATTTTGGCGTTTGAAGAATAAGAACCAACATTTAACAAGCTATTACTCCGCTTGTATCGGGTCTACAGATACTATAAACACCATTATTTTAGTTTTTTTATAAGCTACATTTATGACAATGATTTTTTGATAAAATACTCACTTTTTAAGTTATTCGCCAAAAACCGTCTGAAAAAGTGTTTTTTTTTTTTTTTGGTTAAAAAATGTACACTTTCACTCGCGAATAAGTCGAAATGTATCGATTTTCAGAAAAAACTTTATACTACAAAAGTTGCTTAGAATTTGTCAATATATCCATTATATATATTTTCAATGAAACATTTTTCACCCCCGAGAAGGGGTGGCATCATCCACCCCCAGGATAAAAGCAACCCCCGGTACAAGGTCAACTTTGAAATAGAGGGTAAGTAGAACCTAAATCCAAATTGTTTTGAAAATCGGTGCTGTTTGGCAAAATTATACAGGAAAATGGTCATTGATTGGACTAATTGCTAATAGCTGGCTTCACTAAGTACCTATTTTTAAAGTCACGTCTTCGAAGGCACCTTGAATATATTCTTTTTATTTTGCCAGATGTCAGTGAAATTGAAAATATTAATTTAGATGTTCCATTGAAAACTTTTTTTTTTCAAAAAAGGTATTCTTCATTTATTTCGGTAAAATAAACGGCTACCGAAATAAATCGCTATTTGAGACAGACAGGAACAACTAAAATTTATTTTTTGTAGAAATTCCTTCGACTGCCAAAATTTAAAAGCCTTTGAAAATGTTGATCATTATTTAAGAGGAACATTAAATATAACCATTTACATAGTAATACAAAATCAGAAAAAGGTAAACATCACTTGGGCGTGTTTTTAAAATTAGCTCCTCGTACACATTTTTATTCTACGAATGTTTTTTTCGGTACATATGTAATAACATTCCGGGATTATTACAAATCTAATCGCATTGTGTTCTTTTCAGCAAAAGTTTGTTTTTTGTATTTAGGGTGTTGAGTTCTTCTGGTGGATCTCACAGGAGAAGAAAGTCTAAGGGATTTAGATCGGGTGACCTAAGTGTCTGTACGTATTGACACATTGAAAGCTTAAAATGAGGTGGTGCAAATCGTGCATCTGGTTCATTTTGAACACTTGCCTAGTAAATGTATATTTTTAATCTTTAATTTGTTTCTCTTAATCTATTTCAAAGGCTTTTGGACTTTGGACAAAATGGCGATTGTAAAAAATTAAACTCTAGTTGTTGCTGCCCTTGTACTTATTATTTTTACTATTAGGTATTTCGAAAATCGATTTATCGCGAAAACCGTTCATTTTATCGAAATAAATGAAAAGTACCTTTCATTTTAAAGGAAATTGTTCTGAGTATCTAAAAATAATATTTTCAATTTAAAGAATAAAAGGTATGCTTTAACAAAGTGGTCTTACCCCTTTGTTAAAGTCTACGACACTGGTGATTAAACAGTATAAAATTTTGAAACTACGTATTTCAAATATTAAAAATAAAACTAAATTTTATTCAAATAAATAATGTCTTTTGCTATAACTATAGCCTTGTACTTTGTTTTATTGCTTTGAGTTCATACTCTAATTCATTTGAACTAGGTAGCTTGGCATTTTTCAATGGTTGATCTTTCGCGTAAACAGAAAACGTCACAGAAAACGTGGCCTACATTCACGCACAACATTGTCATTCATACCCTTTAGTTTAATATTGTGATTAAAGTTAATGGGATGATCTGAACACATGCACTGTTATTTATTAATTAAAATCGCTTAGTGGCAAACATGGACACGAATCGACTTACCCTTCGGTTTGAACAGTCTTTTGGTGTGAGGTCCGATGCTACGGTACCAAATATTGTAGGCTAAAAATAAATTAGTATTAGTGTATATTTAGTTCGGTGGGCGCCTTTTGGCAAGTACAGTAATTTTATGTTATACGTGTCACAAAAATGATTTGTTTTCAGATACCCAATTTGCCTGTGCACGTGAAATTTGCGAGATATATTGCGGAAAATTGTCATGCAGCTGTATTTACATGTTTGGTTAAAAAAAACCGCAATATATCGCATGCAATTAAATCAACTTATTATTTATTACCTACCTATCTGCTGCTAACACAGATTTACTGTTTTTATGTGAGCTACAACCGTCATATTTTCACAGGACGTGAGGTAAATATAACTATAATAATAAAGCTTTATGCTATAAGAAAATAGATACAAAGAAAAAAAGAGTACATTTCGTCGCTGTTAAAATGCAAAGATGTTTCTGAAAATTTGACTTAAATGAGTATTAATTCTCCAATAAACTTATAACAGCTTTTTCTAGTTCATGTTCTTAAATTTTATTTATTGTAAATCGGAAAAAGTAAGATACAAATATCTAGATATGTTTTTTGTTTACTGGCAAATCAACAGTAACCACTTTCTTAAAATTGTACTATACGGTAAGAATTTAATGAAATGAATAAACTTTTTCGTTCTATTTAAACTTTTTTTCATTTAATATTTGTATGTACTGAAATAATTTTACTAAATTATAATATGCTTGTATACGTATAAGCGACTAATTAAAATATGAATACATTTTTTATGATTTCAAGGTTATATACAGGCTGTTACAAATTCGCTTCTCACTACACTCTGGTATCTCGGAAACGGTAAGAGATACGAAGTAGCTTAAATGGGGGCAAAGCTAACATGATTAGTTTTCGAAATATTCGAAAAAAACCGAAATTTTGGAAAACCGTTGTTGTTTCATTTCAGCCTTATTTGAGGTGATATTGAAAAAAGAAGAACACTTTGTCGTGGCAACTTTTTGTCCTCTATCGAATAGCATAATCAATTTTTATATGTAACGTTTCGTCTCTGCAGGACCATCATCAACTTACTTTTTTTAAATACGACCCTGGAAATATTATTACATTTTTTGCAAGCCTTTATGACCACCAATACTGTATTGGCTCAACCCGAACCAGATTTCGACGTTTTGTCTCGAAAATATCATCTTCAATGTATTCGTTCCCAATTTATCTAAATTTTTTATTTAGATTTCTATGTTTATTGAATATCACCTCTAACAAGGTTGAAATGAAACAAATACGGATTTCCAAAATTTCGTTTTCTTTTTAATATTTAATTAATAATTAATTTAATATTAAAACTAATCATGTTAACCTTGATTTTTTAGATGTATAAGTTGGTCCCCTGATTATGCAACTTTGCCCGCATGTAAGCTACTTCGTATCTCTTACCGTTTTCGAGATCCCTGTAGTGAGAGCGAATTTGTAACAGACTGTATAGAAAAACAGTATATTTTATAAATATTTGGAAATATTTCTTCTGCAACTCTTGACTGTCTTTTATTATTGGAGAAAGAGAAAGCTTTATGGAGTGTAAGAGCAAGATTGCAACATTTTCAATATTGATTTCTCTCATCAAAATAAAGAAAATAGTGTTTAGTGGCATTTTTTACTTAAACGATTGCTAAGAGCTCTACAATTACTCAAAGATTGGCCGTGAAAAAGAGTTTTTGACAAAAAAAACTATTAATAATATGAACTACAATAGGATCGTATTCGATAGAGTAGAGCAAAAAATAGTCGGTCAAAGAAAAATCGTATATCGAAAATATTCAATTTCTAAACCCCTTAAAACCGTATTGCACTGGATCCTTTGACAGGCAATGATTTATTACTTTGCATCGAATATGATCCTACTATAGGTATAATTTATTTCATAGCTTAGTTTGCTCATGGCGATAGTACTGCAAATATATAAAATATGATAAAACATTATTCAATGGCATCGAAATTTGGAGTCTGAGATTGTTATACGAAAGTTGTTTGATGTTGAAGAGAATATTTTACATTTCCATATGGACCATTTTTAAAATTTACGTGCTCGTCATCGGTGGGATAAAGATTATTTTGGTCTAATTTCTCAAAAATTATGAAGAGATTGAATCTATACATTTAAAAAGTGACGAAATTATTCCACTACTAATAATATGCCAAATTGTGTCTTTTTTGTTGGACTTTTAACGGTAAACTACTTAAGAGATATAAAAGCTTTTTTGGAAATGATCCATTAAAATTTGTGGAAGAGGATTCCGTTATCAAAATAACTTTTTTTAACAGTTAAAGCTTTAGACCCTCTACTATTTCCGGTGCCACACAATAATACGTTACTCAATTTTATTTTAATTAAAAAATGTTTAGCTTTCACTCTGTACTTACGAGATAACTATTCTGATAACTATTCGTAAGTCCATTTCCATTATAAGTCGTGCACTTCCTAAATTGATCAGTAAGAAAATCAGTCTCATCCAATGAGCTCAGGGAATCGATCGAACTCTGTGTGAAATCCACTTTGGTAGTCGACACGGAACTACTCAAATGCCCGGAGTCCTTGCTCAGACAAGTTTGGGGCTTGTAAGATGGCACATTGGGTTCTTCAGACTCATAACTCGAAGCACTAGAGCACGATCCGAATTTTTTCTCACTACCCGTCTCGTAACCATTATTGTCGTAGTATTTCGCGTGATCGCCGATGTTTTCCGTGTATTTCACGTTACTGTACTCTCCGTTCAACAGCTCGGAGGTGGGTATTATTTTAATCGGTTCGAACACCTCGGATATCGCGCTCGTGTAAAAATTCTGCTCCTTTGTCTCGCAGCTTCTCTCGTCCACTACTTTGCCTGCTCTAGACACCGTCACCTCTTCCTTTGTGACTGTCGTGGACTTTACGCTGAGCGAGGTGTCCAGCTTCACCGGTGCTTTCAAAATACCGGTTTTAATCAGCAGAGTATTCAGGAGGTCGCAGGGAGGTACCTGGCCCGTTATCAGAGCCTGTTTTATGGCCATCCCATCTCGGCCTTCGAGCGCCACGGGGATACCGTTGATGAAAAGCACTTCTTCTTCTTTAATGGACGATTTCTTTTCACAATCAACCACTTTGGCCCCCTTGCCCAGGATTGATTCGACCGTCTCCTGTATTTCCGGATCGTCCATTGTGGTGTGGGCTGCAAGCGGGAGATTTATGTAGGTAAAATTGGGAAGAGGGTAAACGGAAGTAAATCAATTTGCTGTTATTAACAGGAAATATACAAGTTTCAAATGGCTGGATATGCACTTTGTTGTGTTTTGGATTTCTGGTCCCGTGATGCAAATAGATTAAAAATTGTTGAGGCGATACATTAAACGACATACTGATCTTTTTTCACTTAATGTTAACAATTTTCTGTATACAGGGTGTCTCATAAATAATAGGCAATATGCTTGGTTGAAAATAAATCGATTAAGAAATTACCTTACTAAGATTTTGCCTCCTTAAATGAACTTCGGGAAATATTATTTGGCCCACTTTTTTTTTCAAGATAATACCATTCTTTTTACGAAAATTTATTGAAATTTGATACAGGGGATTTTTTGAAGTAACCAAAGTTGACCATTGGCTTATATCTCACCTATGAGATAAAAGCCGGTGAGAATATTTGGAATAATCATGGTTTTTTAACATATTTTTTTTTGAGAAAACAAGCATTTTACGGATTGTCACTTTATTTGTTGTAAACAAGATACATTGGTTTCATGTCGCTAAAATGGAATATGAGTAGTAAGGTGGCCCAAAAAAATTTTTCGTGTTTCTTGTGAAAATATGTTAGTTTATCATGTTTTAAGAGACCCCTTAAAAAATCAGTTCAAAAAAAATTTGTTTACAGGTCGCTCAAGATTTTTAAAAATTTCTAAAATCGTCAAAAATTGATTTTTTTAAATTTTTTTCTTATTTTATCATTTTCTAGGGTGAAAAAAATTTCGATTCTGAAAAATCCAAATCAATATTTTAATTTCTAAAGGTCACTCATATTTTAACTTTAAAAGTAGTGTACCTAAAATGTTTTCGAGCGACCTCTAAAAATAAATATCAACGAACTAATATTTTTTTTATTGAATTTGACGAACAAAAGAATAAAAATAAATCACGAAACACTTAAAAAATTTCTCGAGACAAAATTTACTACCGCACTGTATCAAATATTTATAATTTTTTAATTTTTTTTTAAATTTAATTGTCCCGTGATTTATTTCTATTCTTTTGTTCATCAAATTCAATAAAAAAAATTATTAGTTCGTTGATATTTATTTTTAGAGGTACATTTTAGGCAGGGTGCAAAAAAATTATGATTTTTATTTTAAAATCAAAAAACCCGATTTTTTTTATTTAAATCAGATTTTTTTTATTTAAATCAGATTTTTTTGACTTAAATCAGATTTTTTGTTTAAATCGCATTTTCTAGTAATTAACGTCTTATTTCCTGTCAATAATGCCTAATTCGCCGTACCTATACAATAACAAACATTTCCACAGCGCTGCATAAAAAAATAAAACAAAATAAAATTTTCCAATCGAATGGTGGATATCTCACAAGGGTGTATTTGGAAACAATGGAGATTGTTTATTATTAAGCAGTGCGGTAATAAATTTTGCTTCGAAAATTTTTTTAAGTGTCTCGTGATTTATTTCTATTCTTTTGTTCATCAAATTCAATAAAAAATTATTAGTTCGTTGATATTTATTTTTAGAGGTCGCTCGAAAACATTTTAGGTACACTACTTTGAGAGTTAAAATAATTATGAGTGACCTTTAGAAATTAAAATATCGATTTGAAATTTTCAGAATAAAGATTTTTTTAACCCAACCTAAAAAATGATAAAATAACGAGAAAAAAATTAAAAAAAAAAATCGATTTTGGAAATTTTTAAAAATCCTGAGCAACCTAAAAAAATTTTTTTTGGAGCAGAGGGTTCTCTTAAAACATGATAAACTAACATATTTTCACAAGAGACCCGAAAAAAAAATCGTTTTTTTTTGGGCCACCATAATGAGTAGCAAAATCATGTTCTAATTTATTTTATTTGTTAAATTTGTGTTTTTTAATCTTTCGCGATCTAGAACAATTCACCTATGGGTATTCAAAAGCCAACGCCTAGTGAGAAAGGCTTCTAAATGTTGTTTTGCGTCAATCAAATGAGTAAATTTCATTAGAATACATAGCTGAATAGAAAATTGAAATCCGTTTTTTTCTGAAACTGTGCATTTTATCGGGTATTTAAAAAAACGCCTTTTTTAAATCTCTACTAACAGAAAATATGGCAAAAAAACGAATTACTATTTTGGGTACTACTAACGAGCTCTATGTTTTAGATAATTAATATGTATGTGTTGATATAAACCTTCTATACTATACATTCCACTGAAACAACTAAGAAAAAATTGGGAATTAGAAGAAAAATATTTTAGTGTGGTAACTTAATCTAACCATTATTTATTACTCTTGAAGTATGGGTTTAATAATTATGAGACACCCTGTATATAAGATTTGAGATTGTCAACAAAATTGGTCGATATTTAGTATTCATGTTCCTTTAGTCCTCGGAATTTTTCAAAGTTTGTATATTATTTTCTCTCTATTGTCTAGAAATGGAGTATGTATAATTTTCTAATAACAGGAATTTTCTTCAGATTGGAGTCCAACTTCCAAGTTAATTTTCTTGTGATTTAGTTAATCCTATATTTCCTGAATAGTTTTTTTATTTATGTAATTATCTCTGTTATTGTTTGAGATAGATTAAATTAATAACTTCACTTTTTGGGTAAACACCTTAGAAACTATCAACCCATACCCAGCTCCTTTGAGGACATTCAAAATATACTCAGAGGAATGATAATCAAAGACGTCTGACTTACAGTACGAGTCATCGATGCAAAGCCGTTGTTACAAGTAAGGTTAGAAATAAGCTATATTGATTTTTTTCTTTATGGAACTTTGTTCCTTCCTATTATCTATTTTCTTGTTATCCATTTATTTTAATTTTTACTGCAAATTAGTGCGCTAGAATTTAACTACGCGCTGCTCCATAAATAACAGAGTTAACGAAATTATTCAGAAAAATGAGACTACAGTTTGACTCAGAGAATGTCATCCTTAGCCATCTTTACTGAGGCGTCAGCCTATGATTAAAAATAAAATCATCAAAATCTAATTAGTTGTTTTCGAGGAAATCAACTTGAGGACAACTTATTGTGATGTTTTTATTTTTATGCGAAGCAACAACTATTGTCTAATAATTTTTTTCGAAAACTCAAATTTTTGTAGTATTTATTATTCCCGCATTATCGCAGCGCAAATGTAACGGTTTGTTATTGTTAATTGTAAACGAATAATTAATATTGGTAACGCCAAGATTTAGGGAATTTTCGTTACCCTACCAATCGTGCAATGTTGGGTTGCCCAAGTTCCACGACCACGTGGCTAATATTAATATTAGTAGTAATTATTTTTTTGTGCTTTTGTGCTTTTTTTTGTTTAATATCAACTAAGCGTTTCCACTTGTGCTTCAGTGGTGGTCTATAGAAATTAAAAATATAAAAAAACTATAGCGTTTTCGAAAAAGTTGTTAAAAAGTTGTCTCTTTTGGTAGTTAAAATTTTTAAAACGTAAATTTTTAAAACATAAAACTTTCATAAAATTTTTAATGTTATTAAATTAGGCACCTTTAACAAAATGCACTTTGAAATTAGCTATACTTATATTATCTGTAATTTTATGTGTATACGTTATAAACAATCATATTTATGTAAAAGATGGATAACTGCTGCGAATCCAGTTTGCCATGACAAGTTATTATTTCAAAACTGCTCGACTTTCACAAATACCGCGATAAATAAAGCACAATTAGTTTCAGTGGTAACACGGATACTTTATTTTCGTCTGAACTATTCCGAAATAACAGACTGACTATTCTGATCTCATAATCTATTAAAGCGGCTTAACTTAAGTGATATTTCCGGAAATTCCGGATGCTTATTCCGCCCACTGGAGAAACGGTCGAGCGCGAGGAAGCGCGCCTTCCTCATATCTGCTCGGCTAACATGTGTTCCGAACTGTATATGCATTCACGAATGACAGATAGACATATTCAGAGGAAATTAAAACGAAATCATGATGATATACCGTTGGTGAGTGAGGAAATGCCGAATAATCGGCTTAAACTGTGCTGGAGCGTTCACAAATTTATAAACAATTTTATATAGACATTGGAAACTTTGTGGCGAATATCAAATAAATAAACAGTAGTAATCAATATTTTGCTAGTAAGGTGTGTGTAGCCTGTGTGCCGCTCTATGCTCACAATACACAATGCTACTGACTGCCAAAGAAACATGTGCCATACACTCTACAAAGCAAAGCGTCAAACTCACTCACGTCCAACCACCCTCAGCAAAAAACCTGAATTGTTCACAGGCATTAGAGTGTTGCTGGATACGTACCGAATAAATTGATCGATGCGAAGCTTCAGATCATAGGCAGACATGTACATGTTATTGTGCAATTACTAAAATGTGAAATAGTTGATGGTTTGCCACCATTACTAAAAATAGCATGTATTAAAAACTTCGAGTTAGTTCGAATTGGTGAATCAGGCAAATAAAAAAATTGAGGACAAGACAAATATTGAAGCAGTTTAAACCGAAATAAATTATTCGAATACGCTATGTTAAAAATTCTCTCCTAAACTTTAGACATATTCTTTAATATAATAAAGTTAGGTTACATTCTAAACTGACATTGTGTTAATTTGTAACAAATGTAGTAAATATACCAAAAAATTAACATTGAGACTTTAATACAAGTTGCAAAATACACTTTCATTTATCGGTAACAATCTAAGTACCTTTTGAATATAACTACTTCTATTGTACACAATTAACATCACGGTCCTTATGAAAGTGAACGTTGCAATTAATCTCTAAATATAACCCATCAATCATGTCCTAATTATTAAAGAGTTTCTATAACAATTTTGTATTCCTACCCGAACAGAATACATGATGAAACAGCCGAATCACTTTGAGATTTTCAAACTCGAAATTGCTCTTTGATGATTTATTACATCAGTTTAAGGTTAAGCGAGAGGATTTGTTCGAGCGTCAAATATTGTTTAATAACGATAATGAAAT